GCATGGATTGCACTGTAATCTGTCTTGTAGGAGAGGCACTTGTCTCCAGTGAATAGGAATGTCTATGCAATATTGTGGCGTTCTTTAAAGAGGCAGTGCTTTTTTTTTTGTAAATGTTTTTGTGTGATTTCTGTCACCTTTTGTATCTTACATTTTTACCTAAATATGCAAAATCATTCCTGCTATGCTTTTTTTCTCAAAGGACACTGAAAACTCTAATCATACTACTTATGAGTCTTTGCAATCATGGATATGTGCTTGAATAAGAGAAATAATTTCCCAAAATCATTACTCGCAAGAGCAACTGTTTATGTCCACTAGATTTTAAACGTGCTTCTAAGGTTCAGGATTTTAGTTTTTTGTTTTACTAAACTACTTTCAATACTTTTTTTAGTGCATATCAATCTTTAACATCTACTTTGATGATTATGTAGGAACTCCAATGTTGAAATTGCACATAAACTGCTAAATAAATTAGCTTCAAAAACAAGTTATTTTTTGTTAGAAATACTATGTATATATACTATATGTATTTCTTTGCGAAACTTTATTTTGTTGCAATTATATCTTTTTTTAACTTCATGGTTTCAAAAGTGTCATATTTAATTAGAAGGAATAGAAAAATGCTCACAGAAACAAAATTAATCAAAAGATGAAATGTGCTGTTGTTAATTAAAGGATTTTTAAAAGTGCTTAGAGATGAAATGGCAAAATATTAGAAAAGAGGTGATACAACAGCTTTGCTATGATAAAGCAGTGAAAAGGTTTACTACAGAGTGCTTCCTGTTTGTGTGCCAAGGTTGTTTGTTTGTTTTCTGATGAGCCAAGCCAATGCCCCAGCGGAACTGAGGGAGCCCACACAGACACCTCTTGTACCATGCTGGATAAATCTTCCCTCAGCAGCGTGTCTTGGGTACAATTTGCAAAATCAACCTCCCTGTAATTAACATCTGGCATTTTTCCTCAGTAACAGATATTTACACTGAACATTTTTCTCAACAAACAACTATTCTTACTACACAGTATGTTTGTAACAAGAAAATAAGAATGGAAAATGTAAAACAGATGAACATTTCACAACTGTACTTGAAAGAAATATTATTACAAACAGTAACAGCCATGCACAGAAAGAAAGTCTAATCAATTAAAAGTTGTTTCCATCTTCTGAAACAGTACAGACTACCACAATTCTTAATGTAGGAGAAAGGGCAAGGGACATTAAGAGAATATTTGCTGAAGATCAGAAGAAATTGGAAATGTGTTGAACAAACATTTTATTAACATTGCCCAGTTTACAAAGGACTTCCACACCATCCCAGAGAAATCGTAGCAGAAATAAAGATTTATTTAGCAGAAGGTGGCACTCAGTACTAATGATTTCTGTCAAATGGCACTTTCTGAATTGAGAGGGTTTTCTGAAGGATTTTTGAAATATCCTAAAGAATTATGAACGTGATGTACTACTTTCCATCTCAGAAATTAAGTATTTCTTACAGTGATGGCAGTATGAATTGAACATATAAAATGTTTCATCGATCATTCTCAATATATTACCTTTCTCTCTGCTGTTCCTTTTGGTGTTACAGTGCATGCACATCACTTAGGCCACAATAAGGCTATTACTGACCAAAATAAATAAATATACTGTCATCAGACAATTCATGGTGTGACTTCACTTAAGAACCCCACTCTTTAAAAAATATATTTTATAATTTTCTTTATAAAATAAAAAAAAATATTTTATAAAAAAGTATTGTCTATACTCATCAAGCTGTATTCAGAATGTGTATCGCTTATGAAATTTCCTTCTGTTTTCTCCATTTTTATGAAGAATAGAGTGGATTCTATGATGGAAAATAAAGAGTTTTGTTATGAAGCCTATAAATATTTACTACATTGTCTGGTGTGTCACACTAACTAGCTGATACTTAATCAATTTATGAACTGGTCTTAGGATCACTGATATTGTTTATTCTTTCAGTGTAAGCGAACACTGAGCTCTTAGACCAGACAATCTGAAACTACAGTTCACCTTTCATTTAGATTAGTTTTCATCCTAAACCAACAAATAAAAGTTACAATATGTTGATTCCCCTAACAAGTGGTTTCATTGTAGTCTGTAGGAAAGAACTGCTAGTCTCATAGCAATATTTAGATTCCAAAATAGCCTCTGTTTGACTCTCGGTAGGCATAGAGGAAGTGCACAGGACAAAAATGGTACAGTCTGGGTACTGAGTGCTTTGTCAGTTAAATTGTGAAAATAGAAGGTTTCAGAAGATTTTGAAGAATCTTGAGACTGGTGCATGGATGTTAACATGATAAAAGATGAGAAAAGTGATTCAGTGACCCATTTATACTCTGAAGCCAATTATTGGCAGGATTTTAGGCTTGTCCTCTTTCTGAATTTCTAAATTGTATTTTTATAAATTGTATATTTCCTGTATACAGTATATAAACATTATTTCCTACAATATAAATATAGTTCTATTAAAAAAAGCACTGTGGCTTGAACTGCATGCATTATTTTTATAAAATATTTGTAAAATCAGACAGTAAACCAACAAAAGAAAACAAATATAGTAAAACAATTATAAATTAAGACCTATAGTAAATTCATATGTCTTTAAGATCGTTTTAAAAATACTTACAGTTGAAGTTACTTGGGGGTTTGTGCTTGGACTTTTACCAGTTAGCATGTATATTTTGCCTTTGGTCAGATCATTCACCATCACTGAGTTGAGTTTCACTGTTATGCTCATGAAATTCAAAACCAGATATGAAAAAATTAAATTAGAAATGTAAAGTTTTTAAATACTAAGACATATTTTAAGATACAAGCAGTGCTATGGAAGATTACACACATACAGTGCACAGTCATGTATAGTTATAAGGTCTAATATTGAAATAAGAGCTAGTTATTATACCTTTTAATATTACCTAAAGTGGAGTGCCTTTATTTTTTTTTACAATTACACCATCTAAAAAGCTAATTGCTAAATACTGTTAAAAGTCAAGGTTCTACATGTCAACAGTTGTTTAATTCATGTACATTTCTGAGATATTATGAGTAGTAAACTCAATTAAATTTAAGGCCTTTTTAATTTATATACTGTAGGTAGCCTGTATCACTATATTTTGAAAAGTGCCAGTTCTTTAGATAAACCCAAATCAGTTACATCAGCAAAACTGACAGCAGCAAAGGAAATCCAGGAGGATTTGCAGCAAGTCCTAGACGAAGCAATGATATGGCAAATTAAATTTTTGAAAGCAAAATGTCATGTTCAAGCTGAATGAATATATTTGTATTGATAAAAAACAGATATACTGATGTACAATGATAATGCAACATTATCAGTCTAGATTCTACATCAGTAACCTCAGTTAGCATACACATAATAGTGAACAGGTATTTATTAAGTGGTATTGTTTCTTGGGATTAAAAATACAGAGCTCAATTTCTGTGATTTCAGAAAAAAAACATTAGGTACTTTAAATTAGGTATAGGTTTATATACTGTAAGAATTGTCAGAATAAACTGAATAACAATCAATAATTAACCAGTTAAAAATACATAATTTTAGTTAACCATAATTGTTGGTAGTTATTGGCATGATTAAAGGACTGCCTGACTGGGAGAGAATCTGCCCAAATAATGATTCAACCTCCAACAGATTAGTCAAGATAAACCAGGAAGCAGGGACAGGTCACCTCCTAGAATGCAGAGGATCAGCATACTAGGCTAGGATTGTTGTATACTGTACATCCAAACACACAAATTCCATGAAGAAATAAGCCTTGCATCAGTAATATGTATTATTATCAGTATCTTTCCATCTGTATGAAAATGGGCTGCTGTGCAGGGATAAAGTTACTTATTTAATAAATTGCCTTGTTCTGGCACTCAGAGAATATATGAGGAGTGGAGGCAGTGGAGAAGTGTATCATTCACCAGTGTTGGGGGTAGAAGTCCCTTAGTCACAAGTATAGCTCTGGTGTAGCTTGAGGGCAGATTTGCTACCCAGTTATTCTTTGAGGAAAGCCTTGGTCCAACAGTTTTTTTTCTTATCATTCCTGCAACTCAATGCAAAAGTACAGCTTTTTTAGACACTGTAAGGCCATATACAGTAGTGCCAGTATTAAAATGGTATGATGTTAAGAAAAAAATGTTGAGGATTTGCTATAGCATTTTTCAATTGAACATCTATGGGACAAACTTGCCAGTGCCATCAGCAGAAAACAAATGCATCAGTCAACCCTTGATAGCTTTCTGCAGATCCACAGAAAGAGTCCATGATTAGGTCTATGCATCAATACTGCCAAGATTGTGTTCATACTCAGTGTGATCATACCTTTTTTGACACTTTACAGAAAACCAATCTACAGAAAACCAGACTTTTAGTCTGTATTTTTTTCAGTTTTCTGAGATTTATTTACAGCCATGTTAAAATTATTTGAATAGATTGCACGTAAGTGTTGTGCTTTTATTGAACATCTATACATATGTTAAAGATATGACATCGGTCACATAGTTATATTAACATTGCTTATACTACCTCATCAGAGCTTTCATCCTGACAGGTAGGCAAAATATTCCTAAAACGCGACTAGAAGGTTTGTAGGAATAGCTCTGATTTAATTTGCTCTAGGAGTTAATGCAAACACTGATTTCTTCATTTACTAAATCTAAATATCCATCAAATCCACAAGCTTTCAAACAAACTGTAACAAGATATTTAAGATGGAAATTAAATACTAGAAAAATTCAGGAGTGATGTATGTAAATACAATGTTTTTGGTGGATTAGCAAACTATAAACAGTAGATTTTCTGGAACAATGGGACAAGAAATGGATTCCCAAGGTCTGTGTGTCATTTTGTAGAACAATAAGCTATTGGAAACCAAAGGATTGGTTCAAGTGTTATGTGTTGTTTCTTCTTATTTTTTTTTAGGTTATCTACCATTTAATACTTACATGATCATTGTTTTATGTTCTTGTTTAGATTCCGCCCTTTTGCTAATGCTCATAAGAACAAGAAATATGAGGAAATGATCAACACTTTGTCCAGGTTTGAACAAATTACCTTTGACACCAAACACCAAGAAAACCAAGAAAAACTAAAAGAAAAAAAAGTAAGTCTCACATTATTTAAGCATTTAAGCATTTAAGCATTTGTTTTTTGTTTTTTGTGGCATCATATACAGTACATCACTATAAAAATGCACACACCCGAAAAAGGCTCCAAAGCTGAAATGTTGTGTTTCTTTTCTTCTTTTTTCAGCGTGGAATAAACCTTTACTTGTTCCTATACAAATGGACTTTATGCAAAGACTGAATCCTTATCATTTGCTCACATAACTAAACATTAACTGATTAAAATGATACTCTTGATACACAAAATACCGTACTGAGGTATTTTAAAAATGCTACATTTTTCAATAAAGCTATAAAACTAAAAGTAATAAAACCATTATACATTTTTTATTCTTACACGAAATACTGCTATTTACACTTTTCAGTTTAGAAAACTGCTATCACTGTACTTGACAGTTTTCACTTGAGTTTTCAGAAGCCATTATTTGTCTCTGTTTCTCCATTTGCTCAGGTAGTACCATTGTCAGACTGGAAAAATTTATTACATGAATGAATAAATTAGAACACAATATTAAGAAAAAAAAACAAAAGACACTGTCTCCAGTGTCCAGCAAATGACTTTGAAATCACTGCTGTAGATGCTCACCAACACAAGTTTCAGGTTTTATCACACTCAACATATTTTATATTTTGTTGCTTTTCTGCTGTTTTCAATGTAATAAAACATTTGTCTCATAAAAGCTATCTAAAAACAGTACGTATTTTGTTTTTAACTGGCATTAAGTAAATATTTTTTTTTAAATGTTGAACTACTGTATGCATTTGCAGTGTTCATATCTTTAATATTTTTTAATATTCTTCACAAGCGAAAATGGAAAATTGACTTTATACTCAGTGCTAAGTAATTTACTGTATTTCCTAAAGGGCTTTCATGGATGAGGGTGCTTAATTATCCCCTCGCAGCAGGTAGCACCCTGCTGCATTGAGTGCTATTGCCTAGAAATACATGTAGTTGAATAAAATTTTAAAAATAAATAAAACCTGCTGCTGGCAAGAGACATATGCTTTGTTGGCTAGATGTGTTTTACAGAGCCACTTGGCATTTAATTATTACCCATACCGCTTAAAATACTCTGAACACCCCAATGGATTAAATTAGAGGGCCTAAGCATATTGCACAGAACATAAAGTTGACCTTTACTGTCTGCGGGCTTTGGAATCGTGTGGGATGGAAAAGCCATCATATATTTAATGTGGCACAACACTATCTGCAGAAACTTGGGTGGGACTGTGGACTCGGTGAGCCCATCACAGTCTGTGATTGAAGCTGCTGTCACCGGCATCTTGACAGTAATGAACATTCGGCTTAATGACCGTAGTTATGATTATCATAATTGATGTGTGAATGTGGTGCAAAGAGAATCATTACTAACCAAATTTACAATGGAGTTGGTTTCAGCTTTTGAGGGGTAATTGTATTTTTTCAAAGCCACAAAGAAGAGAAAACCATCCTTGCAGTTGACATCCCATGGGGCCTTATTTACAGTATTAAGTAGTCAAATAAGTAGTCAAAATAATGATGGCTCTTGTCTAAGATATAATCTAAAATGATTGTATTCCATATAGAATAGACAGGAGAGAGGCAGTTATCAGTAAACAGAATAACTACTCTTTTAAATAGTGGCTCAGCTAAAGGTGGTACTTTGTTGCTATTGGTGATTTACACCCTCTAGGATAATTTTCTGCAGGTGCTCTGCTTGTTAGCCACAATAAAAATACAATTTAAAAACATGTATTCTCTCTGTTCTGTCCATGTTGTCTCTATGACCCATACAGCTTTTCAGGACTTTGTTAAAGGGATGTGATGTATACTATATTTGATGTATTTTAGTGAACAACAAGAATAACCTGAATATATTTTCATCTATTCTTTGTGGGTTTCAAGGTCTAAATATGATGACAATTTCTGTGTTCACAAATGCTCTTTATTTTCAATTTCTAATGTTCTTCAGTTTCTTTTATAACAATTTCAGTTCAGTTTTTCTTCCCATAAATTCACAGCTCATTTCTTTTTTGTTGTTTTTGCAATCTCATTTTGTCTTCTATGCAGCTTTCTTACCAGGCATAGCATCATTAACCTGCTGTAAAGCAAACTCTCTGGCAGTAATTAATGCAGCATAACACGCAGCATGTCAAAGTGTTCCTCTTTGAGTGGATTAACATTAATTTTTTCAGTGGTTCTCTGAATATTTGTCCACAGAAGCATTTCTTAAAATTCAGATCTCACACATATGTCACAGTAGGGAGAACTACTTTTATGCCACACCATATAAACATTTACACTAAAAATATAAAAAAAATCAAATTAACCAAAGCTAATTCAGGCAGTGATTTAAATAAATGCACTGATCCACAAACACCATTAACTGCCTTTAAAAACTGGGCATATACAAATCCATTCCCACTTTTGTGCTGTCTGACTTTGACTTAATATCCGTTCTAGATTATATAACATGCTGCCCTTGTGTGTCAATAAATAGTTTAATGTTTTGGCAAATGTGAAGCAATAACATTACCATTTCATCATTGTATGGTACTATACTACTGCAGTGAATATATCATTGCTTACACAAATTACTCTCTGTATACAGATTTCATTTTTGGGACATACGATAACATTAATTACTTTTACAGTATGTTTTTCATACTGGACTCAATTCCATTCATAAGGAACACATAAAATAGTACAATTTTTAAGGCCTGCC